TATGTTTTAAAGGTTTCTGTAAAATGTACATGACCATGATACACATCAAGAGCCAGGAATACCCAAAGTTATACTTCAAACTTGATTCTATTTGTGGGCGATTTGCCTAGTTTTGAATGCTATCAAAGTATATTATGGACCCATTATAATAGTGCTTACTTTGTTGTTGTTTTCTCAAGGAAGTAGCTTTTATAATTACCCAAGTTTAATTTAATTTGTAGAGTAAATGTAATTAGGAAGGGAATACTTCCTGGGGAAAAGTGCATTTCTGCTTTTTTCACAAATCATTCTGTCTAGGAGTAACAAGAGAATTTTGAATGATTTATTCTTAATATCAAGGACTATAATATTTATCATTTTTAGTTGTTCCTTCTTCCAGTTAACTGTGGAGATCCTTTAAATTTTGCTGAAATTTTATGGCATCAATTTTAGAACCGAAAAACATTAAAAGTGTTTCCTAAAACTTTCACTGATATGATCACTTGATTTACAGAAAGATCCCAATCTAAACATTGAACCTTCTATTGTCTTTAAATTTTTTTTGTCCATTTTCTTCCTCCTTTCACTTCTATGGATTAAACACTCTCAAAATAATATGAATAAGCCCATCATCTAAATTAAAGAACATCCAAGAGAGTGTCATGAGTACACAGTTTCTCAATTTTTGTTTATTCTATCCTGTTAACAATGGGTATTTATTATACCTCATGAAATAAGTTAAAGAAGTCATCTCACATATGCCCTAAACATTTAACTCTGGGAAAAAACTCAAAAACTATTCAGATTAAGTCAATGTTCACTTTGCAAATTGTGAACAAAATGAAGGTGTTCTAAGACATTTTCAGAAATCCAATTATAGTCAATAGTCGTGCCAAAATTTTACCTGTGATAGATTGGACTGATGTGTGTATACCTGACTAAGTTAGATCTTAAGAATCATTTTTAAATAACTAAAATACAGTAACTTTTACCTTAATAATGATTTTTATATATTAGTTATATTTTTAAACCTTTGCCTTTATGACCCAAGTGACTTTATTTTAAAGACAGCCAATTACATTTACAACAAACTTAAAGACACATAATGCCTTCTTTTTTTAAAAGCTAGAATTAAATACACATTTATGTATGAATATATGTATATATCCAATTAACTCATATATTAATTATAACACTACAATAGTCCCGTTACTGAGTGTCTACTATACCATAAGTGCTATTCTTGGCATGCATATACTTGCTCATTTCATCTCCTATTGGTATTTTTTATAAGTGGTTAGCCCAGTGATATTGTGGAGGAAATGGAGCCCCAGCGAATTTAGGTAACCAGCCTAGGGGCACATAGCTACTATGGAGCAGTGCTATGAAAATCTCGAACTTTGTTCCCAGTATTCATTTAGCAATACTATCTCATCACATTTGTTACCTCCAGTTGTAACAAAATGAGAGAAAAGCAAGACTCACAGCCCATGCTTATGAAGGAATAAAATTATTCAGAAAGTACAAACATACTGATGATATGATGTTAAATCCTCCACTGATTTCTGTCAAGGCAGCACATTTTTTAATGACATGTGATTTGTGAGGCACTTAGGACTTTTAAAAAAAGTACAAAAGAGGGTTCTGAGGCTATGTGGTTTAAAATATTATCCTTCTGCTTCCATTGGCTTAAGAATTTCCAGTACAATCCATTTTTAAAAAACTATCCTTAATGAAAACACGGTGCTAGAACATAAAGAACAAGGTCTTTAATGCACAACACTGGACAAATACTGGACAAGAAGCTCCCACTGTCCTAGAGGGAAGAAGAACCACTCAGGCACACCCTCTAATGAAGTGTCAGCAATGACAGCTGCTAGAAACCAACTCTGGAAAGTCGCCTTCCTGTGATGTTGAATCAGGGATGGGAATGAACTGAGTAGACCCAGAGGCTGATGAAAAGCTGCCAGTGTCAGTAAACAGAAGTCATACATCGATGTGTGGGCAGTGTAAAGCTTTCTATTTGCACAGAAGTGTGTGTGAGAGAGACAGATACACACACACACACACACACACACACACACACACTCCTAACACGTAGTAACAAATAGCCCCATAATAGCATATCCATTTAGTGTAAAGAATTGCTATAATTAGTGTAACATTTTTGTGTTAGGTTTTTACTTAATTGCATGTTTTAAAGTTCAAAAAAAAATTCCTTAAAATGCTATTTACCAAAGTGTATCTGGCTTGTCTTCTGTAAATTCTAACCATGACACTCTACAGCAATAACATTCGACACTATTCCCCTGGAGTTCAATTTATGGCCTTCCTCTAGTTCTGCAGAACCGTAAGGCCTACCCACCTCCTCCATATCCATTTATGGGATCAATTTCTGGTAGTTCTGTAGACTCTGAGAAATGTCAGCTTTTAAACCTAAAAAGTATTGACAGAACCAAAGTCTCTATCCCTCGTAGTCATCATCCTTAGGTGTCTAAAGTTTCAGAACAGAGGTTGGCCTAGAGCTTTTTAAAGGACGAAGCCAAGAAAGCAGAATACAAAGAAAACACATTTTTGTTCATATATTCATTATTTACCTCATGTGCTATGTAAGTGGGAGCCTAACTTGAACTTGAATTTGGGTTGACCTAGGACAGAGTGAGAAAACCATTACAAACATGAGGAGCAGAGCTGTAGGATCTGCTGCTTCCTTCCAGGAGATTGCAATCTTAACTGCCAGAGCAAAAGTCCTACTGAGTCAGTAAAAGGCTTGGTCAAGTATGATCTGCAATAACCTTAATTCCATGTTCCAATTGGGTTAAGTTTAAGAGTTGTAAAGAGTTGGTAAAGGTCAAGTTGGGTCTGCAAATGTGCTTGATTTCTGGACTTAAATTGGTTTTCTTTCTGGAAACAAGTAAGAAGGTCACTCCTTCTTCTGACTACTTTAGGAATAAGCATCTTTTACAGTTTTGCGCTAAGCCAGTTGGAAAGATTTTAGGCTATTGGAGTCTTCCTAGTTACTAGGAGATGGCCACACTGGTAGTAAAGGGACCCCAAAACAGTATTTATTTTTGTCCTTGGAATTCCAGGCCAGTGCATCTATATTAGTGAAGAAGTTTTAGATAATGTATTTTAAAAGTTGATATAAAGCCAAGGACAAAGGGTGCAAGGGGATACAGAGAGGAGATAATAGAACAGCAGGGATGTTAGGGAAGGATACTTGCAGCTTAACTCGTTGCTATCTTGGGAGTTACAGGGAAGAGTACTCACTATCACCCCAGTTAGCACCTCTCTGCTATGATTACTCTCCTACAGTTCCTCTCTCTTCTCACTGCAAACACCTACGCCATTTCCAGGTCTGAACTGTTTTAGCCCTGTTTTCTAGAATGTTTGGGGCAAGCAGAAGAAGAAGAAAAAGAGAAACCAACTGGATGGGGACAGCTAGAGACTTTGTGGGCTCTATTCTCTTTCAAACCATCATGTCCATGTGTGATTGTGCATGCACACAGAGTCTTCTTTCATGCCTATTACATTTTTAAAAGAAACAGGCACAGATTAGAAGAAACAAAGAGGGATGGCAAAGAGACATACTAGATATCACTGCCTCAGGGGAACCGTCCCTCTAAAGCAGTGATGGGGAAATAGGAGATATCTGTATACTATTAACAATAAAAAATAGTTTTAAAAATAAAAATAAAGCAGAGTGAGCATCTCCTCACTATGTTCATAGTGCCCTGATGGTCTCTCCCTTGTGCTTATCACATTGTGTTTCACTGTCTGCTTATATAGTTCTCTTCTCACCTGGACTGTGAGGTACTTACAGCCAGCATGTCAATGCTATTTACTGTGTGCCTGTGAGTGAGTTGGACAGTATGCTGTGGTTTCCAGTGTCCTTGGGATATTTCAGAGTAAACAGTAAAGGATAGAATGTAGGAAGCATGTAGGGATAATATAGAAAGGATGTGGCTCTGGCTGGTTTGGCTCAATGGATAGAGCATTGCCCTGTGGATTGAAAGGCCCCAGGTTCAATTCTGGTTAAGGGCACATGCACTGGTTGCCGGCTTGATCCCCAGTAGGTGGTGTGCAGGAGGCAGCCAATCAGTGATTCTCTCTCATCATTGATGTTTCTCTCTCTCTCCCTTTCCCTTACTCTCCAACATCAATAAAAAAATATATTTTTTTAAAAAGGATGTGATTATGCCACTAAAAACTCACAATAAAGTAATTTATGACTCATTGTTATATTTTATGTGTTTAAGTCTATAATGATGAGCCTCTTTCTAATGGTGTAAGTAGTTTGTGGCTAGAGGAACAAAGGTAAATAGTTTCTAAGCACAATTATGTTATTAAAATGTCACAGCCAAGTGTGGGTATCCACGGAAAAGTGAATTGGTCATGAATTAAAGTGGTCCAGTCAGAGTAATTAAATGAACTAAAACAACTCATTCATTTTAACCACTTTACCTTTAAAACACTGAATCATATCTGATTCTGTTATCCTTCAAGTCAAAATAATCAATATTAACACAAATTAATTATAATATATGTCCTTCAAGATTATTTCTCAGGAACGTCATTCACTATGACTCAATGTGGATTTTCCTGTTGAGATTGAAGTCTGTATTTGATTATTCTTACAGGAAAAATTCTAGATCCAAAAACACCTCATTGGTTCAGATAATATAAATACAGTGAAACTTCAACACATTAAACACTTTGGAGGGTCCTCTACTATTGGAGGAGAATTCAAGCCAAACCCCAAAACCTATCTAAAATCGTATTTCTACCACTCTTATTTCCCCCAAATAATAAAACCAAATAATAACTCTCCAGGAAATGCAGTACTTATTAATAGCAATGAGCAGGTTAACTCCTCCCAAAAGAAGTTGTGTATTTTTTGATGTCATGTACTTAAAACTATTGTCATCTTATTTCAGTTTTCAAAAAACATTTTGGTCTAGAACTGTATACTTCCCAGTAGGAAAATAAGCCATAACCCCTCATTTTGTCTTCCATTTCAGAAAACAGCAGATGTGCATCTTCGAATGCAGCATCCTGCACCAAGTGCCTTGCGCTAGATCCAGAATGTGGATGGTGTGCTCAAGAGGTGTGCCTAATTTTTTTTCTTTCTTTGTTCTTTTTTTTTCTCTTTTCTGTTTTTCTCACAATTGCCCTTCTCTCTAGCATAATTTCATTGCCCTGTAACTCCGTACCTTGAAGGTGTATCAGGAAAACGATACTGATGAGCATCAGGAAAATTTTATTTGGTTTTATGCCTGGAAACAGCATATCTGGCTGAATATAAAGTATAACCTTTTTATTAGGAAAATTATGGTAATTTTGAAATGAAGTGCAAACCATTTTATGTTTTCCATCTGTTCTATAGAGAAAATTGGCAAACACAGATAGTAACTTTTGCTTAGGTCAGAAGGCTTTGTGTGAAATTCTTGTTGCAGCTTGGCGCATTCGGTTACATATCCAAGTTGGATCGTTGTCTTGTACTTGCTTATTAAAGAAAAGCAAGCTAATTTATTGGTCAGTTTCATTTGTTTTATTTGCAATACTTGGAGTTAAGTGATTTATCCTATCATAACATTGTATATCAATTCTTTAGTAACTTATGGAAAATGGGGTGCTTTTCTTTTGACATGTGATAGTGTGTACATTTAAATTCTGTGGTATAGAAAATAATTAAGAAATGTTTATTGTTAAAAATTTGTGTTTTACATCCTAACAAGAGAAACATATCCCAATAACTTCTTAGTAAAATAATTATAATGTATTCCTTCTCTAAAGTAGTTTTGTGGGTGGTGTTGTTGGTAATCTCTAATTAGAACCACCTGTTATATAAGTTGTAATGAAGAAGCCATCTGCTAATTTGGGGTGAGACTGCGTAGGTAATTTTGTATTTATTTATGTAGCCCCTGAGAATTTGAACAGATAGATCTTTAATGGCCTTTTGCTTGGGATGAAGAGAAACCTCTAGCTTTACTTCCTCTGATTTAGCTCAAAAACTGCACCTACCATCATCTTTCCAACCTCTCCTATTACTGCTTGCTCTTACGCATCCCCAAGGAGGAAAAAAGAAAGGTGAAAAGTAGCAAAAGATAGTGGATGTTATTTTCTTTCACGAGGCAAGGCAAGAAAGTGGTAGGGTAGGGGTTCATGGAACAGTAGCCATGTCTGAAAGTAAGTGCCCCTCCTACTGACAGCCTCAAGGCTTCTGAATGTGGCCTGGGTTTTACCAGTGACAAAATCAGATGTCACTCCAAATTAGAGTATCTCTGTCAAGAATGCGTCATAGCTTGATGTTTCCTGACCCTAACCCAATACTCCATTTTACATTTTTACTGTATCACTAAGGAAGATCCTTAGAGTCATGGAGTTTGGGCCAACTTGACATCAGTTGCTGAGAACTTTAGTGTATGTAGTTTAGAAGAACTTTCAAAAGATGATTTGGAAACCCAGTTGTCAGCTAAATGCACCATGCCAGCCATATAGAAGGTCTGGTTCCAAAGGGTTCCTCTCCATCTCACACCTCTGCTGGCACAAAAAATCTGGAGAGTCACAGTTATGTGAGTTGTAATGTCAGTCCTGCCAGGGGAGAAGGGATTATTCAGAGGAATGGCCGGTCAAATGGAAGGAGGTAAGCCAAGGGAAGAGGTGGGTGGCTGCCAGGGCAGAGAAGACAAAATCTGTTTATGCTCTTGATCAAATCCCCATAAAGGGATCTCAGAAAATATTCAGAAATGAATTGGCTGTTCATGTCCCAAAATATTCTATGTACTGAAGGGTAGTCTACGGTAATTTAGAGGTTGAAAAAGCAGGCTCTGAAATGAGATCACCTTGGATTCCAATCCCAGTTCCATCAATTTCTAACCATAGTACCATATTAACATGTGCTCTGAACCTCAGTTTTCCCTAGCTTTAAAATGGAAATAATAACTGCACTTATGACACACTGTTGTGAAGATTAAGTGAAACAGTGTGTGGGAAGCATTTGGCAAACAGACATTGCTTAAGAAATGGGAGTTGTTATTATAAGAACTTCGGTGAAACTCTGGAGCAATTCATTCAGGCTTGGGAAAATTGGAATTGCCTGTGTTAAGAACACAACCCTAGGTGAAGCAACCAGTGTTAGGACTTGGCCACTAGCCACATCATTAACAGAAGGAGCTGTCCACTCCTACAGGCTGACCTGACATCACCAAGAGAAAGAATGCAGTGGTTGGTTTTGAAAGATCGCCCACCACTTAGGTATGCATGCAACTGATGTCTATTATTCCTCAATCAGCAGGGTAGAGGGACAGAGAAGGAAGATGTGGTTTTATCTGTTCTTAAGCCTGGCTTATATGATTTTCAAAGCTGGTCAAAAGTAAAAGAAAAGTTGGAGGAATGCATTACCATCAAACCAAGAAATGTACTACAAGAAATGTTAAAGGGACTTCTTCAAAATGAAGAACAAAAAAATTTAAAAATATATGAATAAGAAAATATCGCAAAGAAAACTCTCACTGACAAAGGCAAACACATAATAAAGGCAGTAGTTCAACCAACACTAAGCCAGTACAAAGGTTAAAAGGCAAAAGTAGGAAGATCGTATGTAATTACAATAGTAAATTAAGGGATGCACACAAACACACAAAAGAAGGTAGAATAGATTGAAAAAAAAAACACATAAACATGGAGGGGGTGAGTAAAAATGGTAGTGATTTTAGAATGTGTTTGAACTTAAGCGACTGTTAACTTAAAATAGACTGCTATAATCATAGCTTGGTATATATGAAGCACATTGAAACCACAAACCAGAAATTTACAAGAGATATACAAGAAATAAAGAGAAAGCAATCCAAACACAACACTGCAAAAAGTTATCAACATACAAGGGAAGAGAGCAAGAAACTAAGAAAATAAGAGAACTACAAAAACAATCAGAAAACTATTAATAAAATGGTAATAAGTACATACCTATCAATAATTACCTTAAATGTAAATGGATTAAGTGGGCCAGTCAAAAGACAAATGGATAAAAAAGAAATGGTACCTACAGGGTGTCCCAAAAAATGTATATACACTTTAATAGCTGACTCAATCACATTTTGAAAATGAAATGTATTTTAATAAATACTGCCTTTATAATTATTCAAAGTGTGTATACATTTTTGGGACACCCTGAATATACAATAGAATATTACTCAGCCATAAAAAGGATGAAATCGTACCACTTGGGACAACATGGATGGACCTAGAGGGTGTTGTCTTGGGTGAAATGAGTCACAGTGAAGGACAAATACCCTATGAATTCACTTATATTTGGAACCTAAAAAGCAGAATAAACAAACAAAGCAGAAACGAACTCATAGATACAGAAACAAACTGATGACTCCCAGATGGGAGTGGGTTTGAGGGGCTGGGTGAAGAAGGTGAAGGGATTAAGAAGTACAAATTGGCAGTTACAAAACAGTTATGGATGTAAAGTACAGCTTAGAACAGTGATGGCGAACCTTTTGAGCTCGGCGTGTGAGCATTTTAAAAAACCCTAACTTAACTCTGGTGCTGTGTCACATATAGAAATTTTTTGATATTTGCAACCATAGTAAAACAAAGACTTATATTTTTGATATTTATTTTATATATTTAAATGCCATTTAACAAAAAAAAATCAACCCAAAAAATGAGTTCGCATGTCACCTCTGACACGTGAGTCATAGTTTCGCCATCACTGGCTTAGAATATAGTCCCTAATATTATAATAACTATGTATGGTATCAGACTTATTAGGATGATCACTTCACAAGTTATTATAAATGTCTAATCAGTATGTTATACACCTGAAACTAATATAACATTGAATGTGAACTGTGATTGAAAAATAAAATTTAGAAAGTTTAAAGAAACTTAATTGGTATCTATTTTTCTTCAGTATTCATGCCCTGAAGCTAAATTAATTATCAGTTTGTTGTAAACACTTTAGCTAAGAGACTCTTAAGACCTGAATAAAATTAAACCTATGACCATATAGTAGATATACATATATATGTGTGTATATATATATATATATGCCTAGTTATTTCACTAGTTATATATAGTGAAATAACTAGAACTAAGAATGACAACTGTACTATAAATCACAAAGCAATCAATAAAGAAAAACAAACAAAAAACCCTCTCTGTGTATTCTCTCTCTCTCTCTGTTCTTTTTCTTCCCCACCCCCACCCATCTCTTCCTTTTTAATAACAAAAAATAAAAGATTTCTAGAAAATTTACACAGGATATATACTCAATTTGCTTACATTCTTGTGTAGCATGTAAATCTGCCATTATATATATATTTTTACCTTCTCTTTCCCTCCATGCTACAGAAAAGCAATTGAAAAATATTGAAGATAAACAGAACCTTATCAATATTACCTAGTTTGCCGCATGTTCATTTTTAACATATGTGAAGGACTTGACCAGTCTCTCTTCCTCTCCTGCCTGATATGTCACATACAGGTTGTGATTGCATAACCAGAAGTTTAGAGGGCAGCCGTGGAGCATAATTATATTAAAATATGATACAAAAGGCATTCACTATCAAAATGAAGATGATAGAATTCTTTCATTTTTGTGCAGATTGCCAAATCTGAAACTCAGGACTCAGAAATGAGGGGGATAAAACACTTTTCTTATGTATCTCCCCAGATTATTCCATTAAATGGGTGAAAGTAATAACTGAAGAAAAGCCAGCCAGGTAACTTCAACATGGCCTTTTCATTCCAAATAGGTTTTATTATTTATTTATTTATTGAAAATATAAAGTAATATCTTTTAGAAAGAAAAAGAATACTGAAACACTTTAGAGGATATTTTTATATGACATAAAATTTCCAGGACTGAAAAAAAAAATTTCCAGGACTGTAATATCAATTCAATTAATAACCTCTAAATAACTAAATTTATACTATAGAATTTGATGCCAAATTTAAAAACTCAACATTTGATTCTAGTTTTGCTGTTGTCGAGTTAATTGGGGTAACATCAGTTAACAAAACCATGCAGGGTTCAAGTGTATAACTAAACAAAACATCATCACCAAATAGGTTTTAGATGCAGACAGCTGAAGTCTGAGTTTGCTTGAGTGCTTCTTGTAGAAAAAGTAAAACATAAGAATTAGAAGAAATTAAAATGCCACAAAACACAAAAAATTAAATGGGTGTGGCTTCAAATTCTTTTCTTTTATACAAAGTGGAAAGTAGGCCACAGTGGATAGGGGCAGCATTCCATTCTTCATTTTGATGCCATGGTCTGTTCTTCCCTTTTCAACCCTAATTGTCAAATTGGCAATGTTTTTATGACTTAGTTGTGTGTGTGTGTGTGTGTTTTTCAATAGAAGTTAGCTACTTTATTCCTATTATTATTATTTCTGGCCTCTGAATTGGCCTTGCCTAAGCCAGACATAGTTCTTTCTGCATGGGCATTTACACACTATGCTTCCTCTTCGTGTATTTTCCTCCAGAAATCCCTGTAGTTCACTCTCTGATCCTTCACAGTTTTGTTCAAATGTCATCTGACCATGCTATTTAAAAATGCAAACAAGAGCCCATCTCCTTTTCACATCTTTTTAAAAAAATTTAAATGATAGCTGGCATATATTATATTCATTTCAAGTGTACAACATTATTTTTACATTGGAGTAAAAACAACCAGGCTGATTTAGACATTGCAGAATAATTGAGATTATTTGGTCTATATCAGCAAACTTATTTGGCATTTAAAGGTCAAATGGCATAGCATGATCTATACTTGTAGAGAATCAACCACACTCACTTCTTTTCCATTCTGTATATACAAATAGCAAAACCTCTGGCTGAAAAAAAAAATCAGAGTTATTTGTACTTTATCCCTTTCCTGATTTGAAGGCTTGGGATTTTTACATCTGTAAAACACATGTGGCCCTTGGTCTGTGTCCTTTCATGTGAGGCATGAATGAGCACATATTCCCCAAGCTCTGGCACAGGTGGGATTCCCCACCCCCACCTAGCCTGAGGCTTTCTGACGAAAAGTTACACATACAATAGAAGTATATGCCACTTTCTCTGAGGAACTCCAAGTTGTTTATAAACCAAATCTCACATTCTTAGTACCTCTAAGTTTTATCAGTAGATAGGGTAAATTTGAATACACAAAATTAAGGCTTTGAACATTTTTAATTTCCGTCTAAAATCTAGGTGTATGGTCAATAGAAAAGCAAATTACATTTTTTCTATTTCCATGAAGTGATTTACCAAATGACATCTGAAAAAATTGATTGGAAAGGAAATATTCTCTATTGTCTTTTCATTATATTTATATTACAAAGTGTGCTCTACACTCTAATGATCAGAACTGTAAAGGGTCACGTAGTAAAATTTTTTTCATTTTGTGAGCTACATACTTTTTCTATTGCATATTCTCCTTTTTATTGTACTATAGTATTTTAAAATCATTATAAAAAACATTTTTATCATTAAAGCCATAGAAAAAAAGCCATGGGTTTTATTTGTCCCATTGTTCCTTACTATTTGTCCAACCCTTGTTCTAAATTGAGATGGGAATTAAATTAAAATCCTTGTATGAATGTTTTTATATTGCCTAACACTATCCCATCTAATTACTCTCCACTGCCAGGGATGTCCCTGTCCATAATTAGTGAGTGATCTCATAATCAACTAATATTAAACTTAATAATCTCCATAACCCTAGGACAATCTGTGCTTCCCCTAAGTTTAATGGCCATGATTATTACATTTCCTTGCTTCATGGCTGAATTCACTGATGGTTTATTGACTCTTTGATGACAGGAACTATGTCTACCTTGTTCTATTCTGTATCCTCAGCACCTAAAATACTTCTGTCTCTGAGTAAGTATTCTTTGATTGAATGATTGATAATAATCCAGTTCTCTGAATCAGCTGAACTAAAGGAGGAATAACTGAATGCCAGATGGAAATAGCCAGGAAGGCCCTAGCCAGTTTGGCTCACTGGATAGCGTGTTGGCCTGAGGACTGAAGGGTACCTGATTCAATTATGGTCAAGGGCACATGCCTAGGCTGAGGCTTGAACCCCAGTGTGGGGCGTGCAGGAGGCAGCCTATCAATGATTCTCTCTCATCATTGATGTTTCTCCCTCTCCCTCTCCCTTCCTCTCTGAAATCAATAAAAATATATTTTAAAAAAAAGAAACGAAATTGCCAGGAAGATCACTGAGCAAATAAGTACCTAGCTAATGTGTAAGCAAATATCACATATAATTCAGGCCAACATTATATATAATAAAACATATTTCTGTACTTTTCAATACATATCTTGTTCTTAGGAAAAAAACCTGAATGATTACATGAAGAATAAAAATATAATTTTCTTCACAGATAAGATAAACTAAATTTCAAGGTTGCTCCATTAATTCCAAGTTTATTGGATGGCTCTTGGATAAACATCAACTAGCCAATGCTGAATGATAATGAACATTTTAGATTCAGTTGCAAAATAAGGAAAATTTGAGCTGCCATCTTATCTCCCTGCCTCATTATGAGCATCAATCATACTTGATTACTGAATTACTGTTGTGTGTATAAGAAGTTGGCAGATTTCACAGGCTAAGAAATGAAGATTTCCAATTCATTCTCTTATGAATTTTCTGTACTTAATTAAGCATGTGACTTCTGAGGACTCACTCTCGTATTCCAAACATAACAATATGTAATAAACATACCAGTTGAGTTCTTTGAGAACTAAAGCTTAAATTTGGAACCGCTGAATGGTCTATTTTGGATAAATTTTCTTCTGGAGCAGTCTCTCCAAAGTAAAATATTAAGTTGGTATAATTTTACAGTGATCAGTTAACAAAAGTACTTCGTTTAAATCTCCTCTTTAATATTTTCTTCTTTTTAAATAAGATTTAGGAATTAAAGCTTACTTAAAACAAATTTGCCAGTACTCTTATTGGAAACAAGCGGCTCTTTGGGATAGTTGCATAAATGGTGCAATATTAGAAGATGGCTTCTTTGCAAAATTTGTTATGTGGTTTTCTTTGGTTTTAATTGAGAGGATATGCACTAAAAATGTCAGTGATTTTCCTTCTTTTAAACAGGATTTCATTTCAGGTGGATCAAGGAGTGAACGTTGTGATACTGTTTCCAATTTAATAAGCAAAGGATGTTTGATTGATTCAATAGAATACCCGTCTGTGAATGTAATACCAACTGAAAATGAAATTAATACCCAGGTGACACCAGGAGAAGTATTGGTCCAGCTGCGACCAGGTTTGATGATTTTCAAATAAATCAATGATGATTATTAATTTGAAATTTTTACTTGCTCATATTTAATAATTTGTGGCAGGCAGTATTGTTGTAGTGAAAATAACAGTGGGCTCAGAATCAGGAAATCAGAATTCTAGCCTTTATTGTGCCTATAGCTAGCTAGCTGTGTGGCCTCAGACACTCCAGCAAACTTGACGGCACTATTTTATAATTATGTGTTTCCAGACTTGATCATGCTGTAGTGTAATTGTATTCTTGCTCTACTGCCAGCCCTGGAAGAAAGAGAACATATTTTATTCCACTCTGTTTCTCCAATGCTGGCATATAGTAAGCATTCTATAAGTATTTGTTGAATTTATTGGTTGAATAACTAATTAGTAAGAGATGTGAATTAAGCTGTCCTTAGAGCCTTTGTGACTTTTAGACATAAACTTTTAGACACAAAACTACAATTCATAATTGTCATAATTAACTTGAACAGCTTTGTGATGGCCCCTGACACTAGTACATACTCCACCTCCTATATTTCCTCTGTACTTGCCCTTCCATTGCATTGTTCCACAGTTTGGCATAAGTAATAGGCCACTAGAAATTATTCCTTTTCTGCCAGTGTTAGAGAATCCCAGTGTACAACCTCATATGGCGAGATAAATTCAGGTACACAGGTGTGCATCACTCGATTAAATGTTTAGTTTTAACTAATATGCAAGCCTTCATTATTTTATTCTGGGTGATCTTGTCCTGTCATTAAATTTTTAAATAACCATTATTGACACACAAGCTCCCTATTCCAAAGCTGAACTATTTCTTCCACACTCTTGGATTACCAGAGAAACAAAGTCCATTTCTTTTTTGGCATATTCCAAGCTTCCAGTTAAAACTGTGCTTGTCACCATATAAAACAATTATACAGCACAAAGTATGAGCAACAGTTGGAAAAGGATACACACAAAAATGAAAGTAAGATTGTGATGCTTGCCACCTTCTGTTGCTGCCATATACAAAGTGGCTTAGACAACAGGAATTTATTTTCTCACAGTTTGAAAGGCTAGGAAGTCCAAGATTTATGTGCTAGCTGGTTCAGTTCCTGGAGAGGATGAGAGAGTAACAGAGAGAGAAAGATAGAGTGAAAGAGCTCCCTTGTGTCACTTCTTATAAGAACACTAACCCCCTCATAAAAGCCCCACCCTCACAACCTGATCTAAACCTAATTATCTTCCAAAGGGCCCATTTCCAAACACCATCTCATTGTGAGTTAGGACTTCAACATATAAATGGAAGGGGCACAATTTAGTCCATAGCACTTGATAAATAAAATAATATTTTCAAAGGTCATGAAATAATTTCAGAAGTAAATCAAATTTTAGACAAGAAAACTGATTTCCAAAAAGTGGAACTTTTTATAGGCCAATATCTCTGAGTACTGTACAATAAAATTTGAAATCACTATGAGAGGATGAACAAATCCTATCTAATAATAGAGAAACATGATAATTAACCATAACTTCACTACCCTTCCCATTGGCTAATCAGTGAGATATGCAAATTAACTGCCAACCAAGATGGCGGCTGGCAGCCAGGCAGCTGAAGCGAACAGGAGGCTTGCTTGCTCCAGTGACGGAGGAAGCCAAAGTTCCCCGCCTGCCTCAGCCTGTTCTAAGCTACACTCTAAGCAACAAAGTTGCAATTATAGAAGCTAAACAAGCTCCAGATACCTGCTTTCAGCCAGCTTCGGCCTCAGAGCTTAGAGCGGCAGTGATGGCAACAATGTTTCAAT